ATAATTATTTAAAAATGCAGCAGTTATTAGAAAATAGCATTCTGCAAAAAAATTCTATCATTGAAAAATCAATGATAGGCGAGAGAAATCCGCGTCTTTAAATAGATTCGCAGATGATAGACAAGAGATATCCGCGTCATTAAACGGATTCGCAGATATACTCTGGTCTCGCGACGAATCTCTCGATACTTATATACACTGGAGTTGCCGTGTCAGTTGCGAGAACGGTTACAGCGTCCCTCTTTCGGGGGAGATAAAAATTGTCACGTAAACTGTGGGTATAATAAGGCGGTCGGTAAAGCGATTTAGCAGTTTACGTGACAATTCTTATCTCTGCCGCAAGAGGGACGCTGTAACCGTTCTCGCAACTGACACGGCAACTCCAGTGTATATAAGTATCGAGAGATTCGTCGCGAGACCAGAGTATATCTGCGAATCCGTTTAATGACGCGGATATCTCTTGTCTATCATCTGCGAATCTATTTAAAGACGCGGATTTCTCTCGCCTATCATTGATTTTTCAATGATAGAATTTTTTTGCAGAATGGTATTTTCTAATAGCTGCTGCATTTTTAAATAATTATAATTTATAAATAATAAATTATTTATTATTTACATGAATTATTAAAAATAAATAATTAAACAAATAAATATATTAAACAAAAATTATAAACATTAATTTTTTATTATTATTATTTAATTAAAAAAAATTTATTTAAAAAAATTTTTTTCTCTTGGTTGCCAATATTCGGCCAATATTGGACCAATATTAACAACCGATGATTGGCGATGCCGTTACATCCCAAGCATCAGCCCATATTGGTCCAATATTGGGAGTCAATCGGCGCCCAGCAGGGCTACCAATATTGGACCGATATTGGACCGATTAAAGTCTATTGGCAATTTCTCACTGGGCAAGTTCACTTATATTGATGAAAAGAATAAAATTTTATTATACACACTGAGAGAAGTCCAGGGCGTAATAGTTCCCGCTAGACGTCACTATAAGCTACTCTGCTTGTCGCGTTGGAGATGTTTCGAATCTAGAGCTCAGACGCCCCGAATCCGTCAAACATTGTTCCCGCATGTGAAAGAACAACTCTTGGCCGAAACTAAAAGTTGTAAGTAATCACGCTTCGGGACGTTTCACGTTTTTTATTGGGGCTTGAGTTTGCGAAGGCAAAAAATAGGCCCCACTTTAATGTTTTTTTTACAGTAATTTTATTTAAAATATTAAAAGCGATTTTTGCACCTTAAAGTACATTATAAAAACTAAAAAAAGAAAAAATTGTTTTGTTTTTTAACCGTTATTTACGATTCATAGAGGGCCCCAAAAATAGGCGATCTAAAATTTGTAAGAGTTTGCTGTGCCCCCTCTAGAGCCGCTCCTGACCGTCTAAAATCAAAAAAACAAAATTTATTCTTTAGTATAGTCGACTAATGTGATGAAATTAAAAACAAGTAAAAAAAACAAAAATGCGGTACTTTTAAAGTCAAAAATTCAAAAGGTCAAAATCATTATTTCTTAAAAATTGACTTTAAAAGTACCGAATTTTTGTTTTTTTTACTTTTTTTTAATTTCATCACATTAGTCTACTATACTAAAGAATAAATTTTGTTTTTTTGATTTTAGACTGTAAGGAGCGGCTCTAGAGGGGGCACCGCAAACTATTACAAATTTGAGATCGCCATTTTTGGGGCCCTCTACGAATCGTAAATAACGGTTTAAAAACGAAACAATTCTTTCTTTTTGTAGTTTTTATAATGTACTTTAAGGTGCAAAAATCGTTTTTAATATTTTAAATAAAATGACTGTGAAAAAAAACATTAAAGTGGGGCCTATTTTTTGCCTTCGCAAACGCAAGTACGCCTTAAACCTATAATAACCTTAATATTATCTATTTTATTAAAAAAAGTTGATTGATATTTTCAAAATATCAAAAAAATGAGTTTTTTCAAAAACATCCCAAATAACTTTTTCTGTTTGGGCTAAAAATTATCAGGAAACATCCTAAAAAAGAAATCAGTAAGAAATTTTGATTCGCAAGCATCTTTGGTTGAACATCATTCAGACCCACCGTGTGGGTCATAAACTTGTAATGATCTTGATTTTTAATTGACAAAAGATTAGCACCCCGGATGAAGTCCGGGTACTTAGTTTAGTTAAATTCTATCAATTTAGTCATCAAATCTTTATCAATACAGTATTTATTTTAAGGACCGTTTTACACTATGATTTAGAGTAAAGGTAAAATTCTCTTCTTTATATTTACAACATATCCAAAGATAATTAAAATCGATCTATCAGTTTTGGAAAAAATAAATTTTTTATGTTGCTTTTCTACTCCACAATTTCTCAAAAATGCGAATTTTGAATTACAAATTGCAGAATATATAATATACACTACCGTCCACGACTATCAGAACGATTACACGTGACTCTATAAAATAACATGCCATCACTTTTTCAATCATATCTTGTAAATAACAGGAGATACAAAAAATCTTAAATGCGTTTAGAAAGATGATTAAATTTTGCGTAAAATAAGCCGTCTTTGGAGTCATTTCATTTACTATTTTTTGAGTTGTAGAGTGTGAAAGAAATAAAAAAAATTATCAAATTTTAACATTTTTGTCCCTTGACTTTACCTTTTTCAAAAATATAAAAAAATTTAGATAAAATTTTTTCAAACACACAGAAATCTTCATTAGAATTTCAGCTTTAAAATAAGCCTTTGAAAATTAAAAAGATTAATCCGTTTTCGATATATAATTAAAAATGTTAAGCCGTGTTTTGACCGATTGGTGCATTTAAATTCAACTACGACAACTTGATTCTGTGTTTTTAGAAAAATTTTATCTAAATTTTTCTAGATTTTTGTAAACGTTGAAGTCAAAAGACAAAAATGAGAAAATTTGATAATTTTTTGTATTTTTTCTCACTCTACAACTTAAAAAATTGTTAACGAAATAACTTCAAAGACGGTTTATTTTATGCAAAATTTAATCAGCTTTCTAACCTTATTAAAGTTTTTTTGTATCTCCTTTTATTTACGAGACATGATTAAAAAAGTAAATTTTTTTATAGAGTATCTTGTAATCGTCCTGATACTCGTGGACGGTAGTGTATTAATACTCAGTAGTTTGAAGCGATATTGAGCGTAAGCAAATTTTTTTGGAAAACTGTAGACTTTTTGAAACAGTAAATTGCAAATTACATGTCATATCTTTACGTAACACGGTGCGCCTTAACTAAAATTAAATAAAAAGGTTTTACACCTAAAAAATTAGTAGATTTTCTGAATTTACAATGTTCATAGATGAGAAAAATCAAAAAACTAAAATAATCTGTAAAGAGATTTTCAAATAACTCCACTTTGAACATTTTTGCGCACGAAGTACGTTATTTTGGAAAATATGACATTGTTTATTTATATAAATAGAAAGGAAAACATTATATAATCATAATTTTTAAGTGGTAATTCTATTAAACTTTTATTATTTTCACACTTCAGTACTAATAAAATATAAAAATGTAACATAATTTAATTATAATTACATCAATTCAAACATGTGAAGCATTGTATCTACAAACAGCGCTGAAAAGGTGTTTAGGATAATCCGGGTGATTTTTTATATGGGAGAAAAATAACTAAATTTTTTATTTTTTATATAATGTTTATTTTTTATGGCAAAATTAATCATTTTCAAATAATTAATTTCTATAAACCCTAGTTCGGTTGTATTTCAACTTATTTGTTTTTATTTATTTAAATATTTATTTATATCAAATATGCAATTATTTTTCATAATTAATTATTTTAAATTACTCTCTAAATCTGAATTTGTAGTTTTCTACTAATGAAATAGTGCGAATTCGTTTACCAATTAAATAAGTAACTGTTTTTTCCAATTTTTAGTAGTTTTTTACTAATTGCTAGTAGAAAATTACTAATTCATTTAGTATAATGTATTTTTTACTATTTCAAATTAGTAAATTTTCTACTAATAATTAGTTTAAAAAACTACTAAAAATTAGCAAAAACAGTTAGTAATTCAATTGGTCAACGAATTCGCACTATTTCATTAGTAGAAAACTACTAATTCAGATTTAGAGAGTAAATTAAAATAATTAATTATGAAAAATAATTGCATGTTTGATATAAATAAATATTTAAATTAAATGAAAACAAATAAGTTGAAATACAACCAAACGAGGGTTTATAAAAATTAATTATTTGCAAATGTTTAATTTTGCCATAAAAAATAAACATTATTTAAAAAATAGAAAAATTTAGTTATTTCTCTCCCATATAAAAAATCTTCATATGAAGTCCGTACATTTTGATTTCCTAAAGTCTTCCTGGAAAATGAATAAGGTTGCTGCGAATCACCCGGATTATCCTAAACACCTTTTGAGCGCTGTTTGTAGATATAATGCTTCACATGTTTAAATTGATGTAATTATAATTAAATTATGTTACAATTTTATATTATATTAGTACTAAAATGTTAAAATAATTAAAGTTTAATAGAATTACCACTTAAAAATTATTATTATATAATTTTTTCCTTTCTATTCATATAAATAAACAATGCCATATTTTCCAAAATATCGTACTTCGTGCGCAAAAATGTTCAAAGTGGATTTATTTCAAAATCTTTCCTCAGATTATTTTAGTTTTTTGATTTTTCTTATCTGTGAACATTTTAAATTCAGAAACTCTACTAATTTTCTAGGAGTAAGACCTTTTTATTTAATTTTAGTTAAGGCGCACCGTGGTAAAGATATATTCTAGAGAATTAAATGGAATCCAAGTCCATCTTCGAACGCTTTTCCTTATATTATAATTACAATTATTTTAAAAAAATTACTATTAAATTATTAAATTTTTTATTTCAGATAATTATTTAAATTAAGCAATAATTCAGAAAAGATATATTAATATCTTTCAGAAATACAAAACTCTTTTTTAGGCAAAAGTTTGACTTTGTTACAGACTTTCTGACGAATGGAAACGTAATGGAGTCTTCTTACCGAAGTGGACAGACGAATGACAACAAAGGAACACTGATAGTTCACAATGAGCAAAGGGTAAGGGTATCTTCGAATCTCTCGTTAACCCAGATAAAAGATAACGATCTCGTAAAAGTTGCCAAACTAACGAAGTACCATTTGTACGATCTGCTATTAAAGTGTGGCCTTTCATTTGACTTTTTAGCAACCAAAGCGATACGTTTTGAAGGTAAGGCATCCAATTTATTTATTTTAATCTTTTTTAGACATTCCTTATGTGAAAATTGAGTACTCATTTAGGACACTGTATGTTTTTTCCGATTTAAATGGAAGGAAATTGCATCTCACATTTTTTTGAAGATTACATAAAAGTATGAAATTCTATGAATTTTAAGACCAAAAATCGTCGGTTGGGTGCAGAAAGGTACCAATTCAGACTAGTCGTGAAAAACGTGCCGAATTGACGTTCATTTTTTTATTTAATGAAACCTGCAAGAAAATTTGAGGTACAAGTTGCTTCCATTTAAATCGAAAAAAACACATTGTGTGGAAATAACTAATTGTTACACCTATTATGAAACTTATTTAAAACAATTATAAATTTAAACAAATTTTAAGTTATGGTACATATCACGTCAACCGGATCAGTAGGCTGGCCACAATTCTATGTTACCGGTCTCAAAAGTTAAAGTCTTAAAATGATCGTGTGAATGTCCTCTATTAACCCCTTGACTGTGAGGGTACGTCTATAGACGTACATTTGAAAGTGGGCTTCCAGTGTGAGGTACGTCTATAGACGTACATACAAAAAAATTGATAAAAGGCAGAAAAAACAAGTAAATTTACGTCACACATACGTTACTTATGGTATTTTCGACGCTAAATTCGAAACTGAAGTCAAATTTTGAAAATTCGAAAACCAAAATCCAATATGGCTGCTCAAAAGTAGACTTTTTTTAATTATACTTTTATTATATTAAATCTCAGGCAGCATACATTATTATATCAAAATAATATCTCACACAATTATATCAAAATGTTGTCGACGTCGCTGGTTACAAATATGAAGTTAGAATTTCGAAATTCAAAATGGCGGATTTGGATCCGCCATTTTGAATTTCGATGATGGACTAATTTTTTTAAATTCATTGAATTCGCTTGAAACTTGTTACTCGGGGGTTTTCGAGGTCGCTGATTCCGAATATGAAGTTAGATTTTCGAAATTCAATATGGCGGATCCAAAATGGCGGACATATTTTTTAGTATTCATTGGATTTGCCTAAAACTTGTTACTCGGGGGTTTTCGAGGTCGCTGATTTGGAATATGAAGTTAGATTTTCGAAATTCAAAATGGCGGATCCAAAATGGCGGACGTATTTTTTGAATTCATTGTAATCGCTTGAAACTTGTTACTCGGGGGTTTTTAGGGTCGCTGATAACGAATCTAAGCTCAGATTTTAAAAATTAAAAATGGCGGATCCAATATGGCGGACATATTTTTTTAATTTCTCGGATTCGATTGAAACTTGTTACTCGGGGGTTTTTGAGGTCGCTGATGACGAATCTGAAGTCAGATTTTCAAAATTCAAAATGGCGGACGTATTTTTTTGAATTCATCGTATTCGCTTGAAACTTGTTACTCGGGGGTTTTCAGGGTCGCTGATAACGAATCTGAAGTGCATTTTTAAACATTAAAAATTGCGGATCCAAATCAGCGACCTCGAAAACCCCCGAGTAACAAGTTTTAAGCGAATCCGATGAATTCAAAAAAATATGTCCGCCATTTTGGATCTGCCATTTTGAATTTCGAAAATCTAACTTCATATCTAGAATCAGCGACCTCGAAAACGCCCGAGTAACAAGTTTCAAGCAAATCCGATAAATTCAAAAAATACGTCCGCCATTTTGAATTTTGAAAATCTGACTTTAGATTCGTCATCAGCGGCCCCCAAAACCCCTAAGTAACAAGTTCTAAGTGAATCCGATGAATTTTTGAAAATGTTGTCCGCCATATTGGATCTGCCATTTTGAATTTTAAAAAGCTGACTTCATATTTGGAATCAGCGACCTCGAAAACCCCCGAGTAACAAGTTTCAAGCAAATCCGATGAATTCAAAAAAATACGTCCGCCATTTTGGATCCGCCATTTTGAATTTTGAAAATTTGACTTCAGATTCGTCATCAGCGGCCCCCAAAACCTAACTGTACCCAATCTCACAAATTTTGGTCACCAAAAAATTTCTTAACATTTTGGACCCACTTTATAAATTTTTCTCCTCACAGCGAAGGGGTTAAACAATCTGGCCTTTTTGGAGAAATCCAATTTGTCGGAAGAAATATGGCGCCTAAACTGATTAAAAATAAAATAAAACATAGCACTCGCAAAAAGAATGTTACACTGAATGCGGATTCAATATAGCGGTCGAATTTAGAAATATTCATTCTATTTACATTAAACTTTGTTACTCGAGAATTCTCAGGGTCTCTGATTACGAATCTGGAGTCAAATTTCCAAAATTTAAAATGGAGGATCCAATATGGCTGTCGAATTTGTACAATATGGCTTTCTGGCGAAGTTTAATGTATTAATAAAAAAACGAACACTCTCGTAATGCATAGTTTTATTATAAATATCAAAAGACATTATTCAACAAAGATGGCCGTCGGAGGCGACTCGCTTGCTCTGTGGTTCTAACGCAACTGACTGACAGACCACTCGTTTCTTCGTAGAGGTGGAGAGGGGGTCAAGTAGACAGGGCCGTAACTAGAAATGTCGGAGACGACGAAAAGTCAAACATTGCCGCCGGCCTCGTTCCGTGAACGAAACAACACATAATAACTGAGAACAAAGGAACTGTAAAATGACAAACAAGATCAAATATTATTAACGCAATTACAAAATAATTTCCGAGGTAAAAAAGAGAGGACAGTCGGCTTCAGCCACCCGCCGTAATGACCCCCTAGATTGGAGAGTCAGAAGTACTGGCAACGGGTAGCTCAACTAGCTTCGTAATAGGCCTCAAGTAAGTTACGGTTTGTGTTTCTTTAATTGCCACTCTAACTAGGTGATCTGCTCCGTGGTGAACCTGAGTAACCCTGCCGATAGGTCAGCGTCCGTTTGGGCCGATCAACGTTGGTTCGATAATGATCACTATGGCACCAGTCTTCAAGTTGGAGCGTAATCTTGTCCATATCGCCCTATGTTGTGAAGTATTTAGATAATATCTGGACCATCGATACCAGAACTGATCACGCAGACCGTATACGAGCGTTTAATGGGTTAAATGATTTAAGTTCACGTCTGCGCGGGCAGGATGTGGGATCGATGACAACGCTTCTCCGATCAAAAAGTGGCTTTAAGTGAGAGCATCAAGGTCATCTTGATCTTGAACGGGACAAGTGGACGACTGTTGAGTACCATCTCAATCTCTACTAGTAACATGGTAATCTCGTCATAGGTCAAAATACGAGATCCTGTGATTCGTCGCAGGTGTGACTTTATGGACTTTACTCCAGCCTCCCAGAGGCCACCAAAGTGTGGAGCTGATGGAGGTATATAATGCAAAGTCGTCCCTTCTTGAGCGAGAGAGTCTTTAATTTTTAGGCCAGTTGATTCCAGATCCGTGAAGCAGGCGACGAAGTTCAGCATTGGCACCTTGGAAGTTGGTGGCATTGTCGCTCCAAAGTTCTCGAGGGCGTCCGCGACGACCAGCCATCCTGACAAGGGATCCGAGAAAGCTGTCTGTTGTAAGATCTCCCACGAGCTCTAAGTGAATACTTTTCGTTGGCAGACAGACAAATACTACCACGTACTATTTGGTGGTACGCATGCTCCGTCCTTTTAATTTATTTAAGCATAATAATGTTTCTAGGGCTAATGAGCCCTTCAAGAAACAGATGCATTAAAAACCGAATTTGGTTACTTATTCTAATGATTTGCTTTTGACCAAAGCGTTTGGAATGGCCCAGCGTAATCAACCCCTGCCTTGCTGAAGGCTCTGGATGAGTTGATGCGGGCTGCTGGTAAATCTGCCATGAGTTGACTCGAAGGCTTTTCTAATGTCTTCGCACATACTACACACTGGTGGAAGAATTGTTTAACCCTCGTTGGACCTCCAATTATCCAAGCACGCTTAATTACGTGAGCAAGTGTGAGTGTTGAGCCTGCATGGAGTGCTCTTTGGTGAGCCCAATCTATAATAAGTGTTGCCAAATGAATGCAGCCTGTCACGATGACAGGATGGTTCTCTTGTTTAGGTAAGGTAAGCATGCTCTAAGAATAAGGTATTTGTCTAAAAAAGGCTTCAGTCTCGAGAGGAAGTTCTCGGCGTGAACGACTTCACTCCGCTTAAACTTCGTATCTCTTGATGCAATTATTGTTGTCAAGAGATTTTCACACTAGCTAAAAACTATCGCTTGAGTTCTTCTGTTGCTATTGAAGCGAACTGAGGGACTGGATCCTCCGTGATTTTTCACGATCGTATCAATCTTAGGCAAAGAGCGAATGTTCTTAGAAGTCTGGTCAGACTAGAGAACCTATCGAGCATTGACGGAATTGTCTATGATGTGAGGCAGTGAATCGATTTTTCGGGTAGCACCAAAGTAGTTTGCTTAAAGAAATTTGGATTTATCTTTTAACAAATTTTATTTATGCTTGAACTCCTCTTGAACCTTCGACCAAACGGGAAGAACGATGACTTCGAATGCAAATGAGATAAAATAGGATAAATCCCCAATAACAAAGAAAGAATAGTAAAAGACAAAATATTATCAATTTTCAAAGAAAAGAAAAAATGACGGGAACTCGATGATTTGTCAGATACCCGTGGCGGTATCTTGACAAATCCCAAAATTAAATGTTACTCGGTATCTTTAATCAAAGGAATGAAATTATAGCAAAAAACGTGAATTTAAATTAAGGAAACACGAACAAAAAAAATAATGATGATTTATAAAACACTGAACTTTTTTTATTTTTATTAAACAAAGAAAATTTTCGGGCTGTCGTGAGGTTCTGAGCAAGGTGTGCTCTGGTCGGTAGCTCGGTGAGTAGTGACTCGACAGTCAGCGGTCCTGAG